GAAAGTGAATTAACAATTATTACTTGTAAAATGAATTGCAAAAGAATTTATTTTTCAACTAAATTTTGTACAAATTTAGGAACTAAATTTTTTAACAAGAATTATTGAATTATAATATTTATAGGCGTTACCTCTTTAGTATTATATTGACAGTCAGGATATCTCCACTTTCTAATATTTATTGAAAAATAAATTTTAATTAATAATAACTGAATTTGTTTGCGTGGTCAATTATAATAGGGGTAGAAATTATAAAAAATCGTGTCGTCCTTGAAATTGATATTAATCGAAAGAGAATTCAAATAGAGTAATATAATGAACATTGTGGTTTGTAATTTTTCATGTTAACCCCTTGCCTTATACTAACGTGTCAAACTTGTGATGAAAATTTCAAACCGAATTCGACAAATCTAAATGTTAATTTGCAACATAAAGTAAGTATTACCTGTCTATTATTAATCTTTAACCTTTAGAGTAAATGTAGACACAAAGTAAGTGTAAAATTTGTTTCTTTTTCTACTAAATAATTAACGACAAAGTTATTTTAGTAAGCACGGTTGAGAAGTAAATCATAAGGTAGGGAGTTAAGAATGAAAAAGGGGCATTCTAAAGAGGATACAACCTTAAATTAACTGTGAAATAAAAGAAAATAACATTTTCTATTTCCATACAAACGACGGAGTAGAGATCGAATATATTCGCCGGGAGGCAACTCGAAAGTCGAGGTCAAGAAGTAACCAAAGAAATAAACGAGTAAAGAGAAGATCTGGGAGGATGGATAACGCCAGAGGCGACTGCAATATCATTGGTCGAATGGAAAAGGTTATTTTATTTTCGCCAATAGTATTGTAGCGTGGATCGTACACAATGACCCCCTTCTGGAGCACTGGAAACGCAAAATAAGAAATCAATACGAAATCCTCGGACCTCTTTCCTGGCTATTGGACAGCCGCGAAAATTTCTATTGTAGCTCCATCGATAAGTTATTATCGTCGGGCTCGTGACTTTCAAGGGTTCCCCCGGATCTGAAAGATCTCTGCACCGTTTGTGCTCGAATTTGCCAGACATTTTCGAAGATTACATTTTCATGGCACAATTGTAGCCTCCACTAAAAAATCAATTTGTCGTACATAAAAACTGCTATAGCCATTCCACGGTTAAGGGATGATAATTTATGATTACCTACATTCGATTTCATGTAACACTGTATCGCATTATGCGACTTATTATATTATATACTCACGAAAAGAATAAACTTTCAACAATTATTTTATTTTCCAATATTACGTTGAAAGACGCTCTATGTTATTTTTTCAAGAAATTTGAAAATATTTTTTTTAAGTTTCTTTAACTAAGTTTAACATCATCAAACTACGTGCTGACTATTTCGATGATTTTCTATTATTCTCCGGTACGTTGATTTATTTGTAATATTTATTCACGTATCTCTATACTAAATAAAACGATATTTGATGTAAATAACGACGAGAGCTCGCTCTAAATTTCCAAGCAGCAACGTGCACGTTCCAAATACGTACAAAGTGAACAAAGAGAGTGTCTACGAAACCCAGCAACAGAGTTCGCGTTGCTAATTGTTGCAAGAATCAAATAGTGAATCACTGAGAACAACAGCAAAAATAAAACAGGAATAGAGGACAGATAAAGGTTCGCGTAATCCTCGGGAAAGAACCGAAACGTTCAGCTCGTTCGCGTAGATTAGAACCGTACATCTTGATAGTGTAAAAAAAAGAGTCGAGCGAGCGTAAGAGAGAGAGAAAAAGAGGAGGAGAAAAAAGTAGAGACGCGAGAGGGGAAATATTTCTTCTGAAAGCATGGTTAGGCGGGATTCACGAGTCGGCTGGTAACGAAATGACTGGAAACGCGGTAAGCAACCGCGATTCTCGTTTTATTTCAACCGCGAAACGAAACGCGGAAAGAAAACGGGGTGGGAAGGTCTCGAGTGCAGCAAGCGCGCGAAACGTTGCTCTTTTTTCGGTCGGAATTCAGTGGCAATTGCGAGTCTCGTCTCGGCGGGACGAAAAAATGCCGGGCTAGCTGCGCGAGCAGACGCCAGGGTTGATAGGAGATCGTTGCCGTTTAAAATCCCGCCTTCGAGAGATAATGGCAACTGACCTGAAAACGACACTCTGGTGCTTCGTCGTGCGTACGGCCGGCGAACTTGTTTGACGGCGGCGACGCGGCTCGAAATCAGCTCCTCGTGTGCAATGTTATCAAGAAAGCAGCGATAGTTCCGTAACATGAATCGTTATTTCTTCTGACGAAGGGATTTTGCTTCATAGCTGTCGAAAGCAGGCCATTTCGAAGAATTAAGAAGAAAGGAGATTAAGACGGATAATACTGAAGGAGTTTTCGTATGTCATCATGGTTATGTATAGAATTATGATTTGTTGTTAATTTCAAGTTGTAAGAGGCATTCAGGTGTCACTGAATTTGAAATCATAACAAACATAGACATCTCAGTTTTAATTAAGAAACGAAATAATAAGCTTTCGCAAGAGGTTGATCGTGAACGTTATAGGAGAATATTTTGTTAGTAAAATAGTATTTCGAACAGACGATCGAGTTGTCCTTGTCTGTCATTTCGAAGTTTCGAAGAAATAAAGAATTTTCGATGGCTTTGAAATGGTAAAACTTTATTTTCCAGAACACTATTATTGTATGAATAATAACACTTTATTGCTCTAAGATATTCTAGACACACTAGTTCCTTAGTACATATTCTCGTCACATTATGTTCAATGAACGGTTATAGCGTCAGAAGTAACTTTGTTGTTTGCGTCCAATTTACGAATAAAGAGAAAGAGGATAGCGAACGCCGTCGAATTGCAACGTACACGAGACACTAAAGCCTGATGCGAAATCCGGACGCTGAAAGGGTCTCGCTCGAAATCTTTTTCGGGGGCGTTCCGGCAGCTAGAGCTTACAAACCTAAGCAGAGGTTACGAGGGTTGAACCGTACAAGGGTTAACCCAGCGGAGTGGATCCGGTTTACGATTTCTTCCAGCTCAGTACTTCCATCGAGAAAGAGGTCGGGGTGCTAAGGCAATCGACGCCGTCCTTTCTTCTGGATTAGAAATCAGGGTTTCGCGAGAAGCCAATAAATATAAGATGGCAGATAAACTTTCGGGCGGGGGACAGCGAAACGTCATCGCTGGGAACTTCCTGTTGCGAGCTGTTCGCGAAGCCAAGTTCGAATACTCAATGTACAACGGTTTACGATGGCACTTACAAAGTTACTGCCGGGCCGAGTTTTGTTTTCCTCGAAGAAAGGCGTAAGAAATGTCTCTGGTGGCTGTTGAATTTGGATGGAACAGAACGTTTTGGAATACGGCCGATATTGCAGACAGAAAACTGTATTACAGAACATATTTTCAATTGACATTTCTGTTTATGTAGATGATTCTATAAAACGGATATATCAAAAGAAGTTTGAGTTGTCTTCATAAGAATTTGTGCAATTTTCAATTGCAACAAAGGAAAAAGAAAGGTTTGAGGTAGTAATGTGGTCAACCTGATGTTTTTAGGAATGAATTCTATAGGAATTTTTGAAGTCTGATAGATTTTTATAAAATTGACGATGATTATGCTAATTGAATATCTAAAGAATATATGTCTAACTACAGTTATTATTCAAATGTGACGCCACTGTTTAGAATATAAACGACATTGAAATAAAATTGTTTTAATAAAATTATCGATAGTATTATGAAGAATTTCTATAGAAGAAATATTACACATATTGATAATAAATAAGAAAAATGTGAGTTTGTTATTTTATAAGATACTAAAAGAAATTGGAAAAAATGTAAATTATTATTCTCAAGAGAAAACTTTATTGAAATCGTGTGGCAAAGATTAAATCTCATTCAATCACCATGTTGTGGGTGAATGTTCATATTACAAAGCGAAATAATTCAGTAAACATGGTACATAGAAGGTCAGACGAAAATCACACGTTGATTGGAATTTAGAAAATGCTTTAACACAAAGTTTTGCGGCAACGTGTGTTCGGGTTAATATCGACTTATCTCGACCGTTCTATCAGGATAATTATAATCATCTGACCACAGTATATTGTAGGGCAGAACTTTATAGCTGACCGTGTAATATTCATAGCACAATGTGTGCAAGTTAAGAAGATTAAATAGTTAATACTGTATTCTATACAAGGACAAAACATCGAAAACCATGATCCTTCGATTATTATAGAAATTTTAATAAATGTGCAGATACGTATATCAATCAAAATATATTTGTCTCATGTACATAATGCAATATAATCTATTTAATATGATACCATGAATAACCTGTATTGTAAGTAATTTATAATGAAATAATCCTACGTTTCTAGTTACTTTCAAATATGCATTATATTATACTAAATTTTTAACATAAGAATGAATTAATAGACCTTTAAATAATAAAATTTCAAATTCAAAGTTCGTAGTTACAAAAGGAAGAATATACACATTTAATCGCTTGCTTAATAATAACGTGCCAGTCTCGTTGTGAGGATTGTAAAGAGAATTTAATAAGCATGATCATTTCTCGATTCTTTTGAATGCAAATGAATCTGTTATCAATTATTATACTTAAGAGCAAACGTGGACATAAAATATGTTTAGAACAATTTCCGTTTTTTTTTAAATGATCAATGACAAAATATCAATCATTGTTGACAAATAAAATGTAGGACAAGGGGTCAACGCATGAATATTCGTAAGAAATTAATTAAAAAAATGATCCGATACGTAGGTTGCTGCAAAAGTTGTTTGTTATTTTTATAAAATTCACATTTTAAATTTTAGAAAGTGCTAACACGAGACAATGAAAGATATACTAATGTTGAAAGAGAATTTTGAGAAACAATAAACCATTAGTTCAAACTTATTTGCGACTTTTCTTATATATTCTCGAAACTTTTACAGCAACCCACGTATCAAATAAAAAAAAATTATAGATGCTTTCTTGATACATACCTGCAGTGACTGGGGCCAGATGCACGTGTGATTCAGTTTGTCCCCTGCAAGAGATGACGGATCGTAGGTGCTGCACCTGCCGTTGCCGTTTGCGCCAGCCCGGCCATATTGAGCGAGAGCAACGGTGATGGTCGTGCCTGGTGGACATTTGAGCGTCATCAACTCCTCGTCGCAGGCTGCTCGTTGGTAGGTCTTCAGGGTGCCTGATAACAAGGCTGTCGTTTCAATATCGTGGTCACGAAACAGAAAATTCAATTGGGTCATGTGGAACGGTTGCCAGTAATCATTCATGTTAACGAGATTGAAGGAGCAAAATAGATGAAATATCGTTTCGCTCGGACAAACCAGCAAGTGACAATTTTAATTCATAACGTAATCGACAGATAAATCCATGCAAACATTCACAGAAAATAATCAAAGTAGTTTACAATACGCAATATTTACAAATACAGAAACGATCAAATGAATTTCAAAAAGAAGAATGAAAAGAAGATAAACGTGACACAATATTCACAACGGATAATAAAACATGACCAGCACAAAGAAATTCAAATAAAATATCGCCAAGTATAAATATCAATATTTACATATTGACAAAACGAAGAGCGTAATAGAATCAATCATTCCCACAAATTTAAGAGAATAAAACCAATAACATTCGTTAGAAGAATCGTCCCGGAACAATATCAATCAAGTCGATCGGTGTCGAAGCGAGTGATACGAAGTTGATCGATAGCAGAACAATAGACAGTTCCAACAACGAAATACCCGAAAATAAGCGGGTAATGAAGAAGCGTCGCGAAGGGAGAGGGGAATAATTGGTGCGAATTTAGAGGGGTAGCCGAAAGAAAGGGCGCACAGGGCGCGGAGAAGCGATCGATGACCCGTAACGGTGATCGGTTTCGAGGGATTTGGGTAATTAACGAGTGGATCAATCGGAGGATCAACCGGGCGGCGATGTATCGATGACACCCGCCCCGCGGAAGCGGTGTCGTTTCGTTTACACGCGGAATACAAGCCGACCGACGCGGCACGACGGACGGCGGCGCACAGTTGCGGGTTTCGGTGGCGAGTTTGCACGCGGAACCGCAGACGTTGCAGCGCTCCGTTGGAAATCCACCGGATGACGGCCACCGGTGGTAAGAACGAAAATGGCGGGGCCAGCGGCCGATGTTAATCGCCGCAATTCCGTGACACAATGTCAGCGGGCCAACACCGTTTGTCACGCGGTTCGGTGACGATTCGTTTTGGGCAAGGGGTTATTTCATTTTTTCCGGTATGGTTGGTGCACGGATTTCGCCGTTTGACGTATTAAACAAGAATTACGGGGTATGGAATTATATGAGGGTTTGTTGAGGTAAGAGTTCGGGTATGGATCAATTGAAATGATTCAAGTAAGTTTGAAAGGAATGTTTAAGATGAGGCATTAAGTTGGATAAATTGTGGAAAGGGAATATGTAGGTAAATTATAGAAAGTTGAATTGTAGAATTGAAATTGATATTTATGTTTCAAGAAAAATGGAATGGTTGATTGAGAAAGATGTTTGAGAATAATTGTATTGGTGATGAATGACAGGAAAGAATAAGATGTTAAAATATGCAAAGTGAGTTTTTTCGAAGATTGGTTGTAATATATAGTGATATTAAGGAATATTAGCATCATGCAATGTTGATCGAAGAAAAATGAATATACATAGCAAAGCAAACGTTATTGAACAAACAACAGAAATTATAGTGGCGTTAAGAAAAATAATTCAATTGGTAACGTAGGAAATAATGATAAGCCGAAGAAAGTTAGTGAACGTCAAATGCAACGCGAATGAAGGTGTTCGACAGAGATGTCCGTGAGCGGGATTAAGTCATTGACCCAGCAAGGTGTACAACAAAATGTTAGTGTATCAATGCGGTCGACATTAAGCGTGGTTTGTTAACATGTCAGGCGTGGTTACCATCACCGTGATTTATTAACGTGTCATTGTTGTCACCGTCACCACGGTGTACCAGGCATTGTGGTCACCATCGCCGCGACACATCGTCGCGTTATCGTGGTCACCATCACCAGAGTTAATCAGCGTATCGTTGGTGCCATGTGGATTGTTAGGGTGCCGTTGTTGCAACCGTCGCCATTGCCACCACCAGTAATCGTTGAAACGGTAAATGGCAATTTGTAGTCCGGAGAGAGGAATAGGAAACATGAAAAAGAAAGCAGATTAGCTTCAATTAGCAAGAGACATTAGCATTGCATTTATTATTGCTATAAAAAATTGTCTTTAACTAATGTAGCATTTTACATCAACAAATAGTGTTAAGTTACGTATAATCATCATTTCATCTCGTTTGTCATAGACATTGTATTAGAGGCACTTATTTATTATTGCCTATTATTATTTATTATATTATACATTTACATATTATTCGTTTATTACGGAAATTTATTACAAACATCAAATTTTTATGAAAAATTTGGTTCCTTTAATTAAGCCATATATAATTATATAATTAAAGAAACCATTGAATGTCAAGATGTCTAATTTAGTGTCTCGTCCAATTGGATACTTCGAATTAACTGACACATTCGATAGAAGACGAAAAAAGTAACTCATAAAAATTTTTTATTTGAAGGGGTGATTCATGTGATACAGTAATTCCTTTTTCTGGCGTCCGTGGACGTGCACGATATACGTCGAGACGAACTTTATTTTCTGCAAAGAGATAGGGCGGTACACTTCTGTTGGTGATGTAACAGATAGTTCAATGTCGAGTAAATAAAGGGAAAGTCTATTTTAGGCGAAAATCCGGAGATGATGGTATCAAAAGATTTTCTGATTACTTGACGAATCACTCGCAGGCCACATGAAAGGGAGAAAGGGCGCGTGAAATTCCAAAGGTTTCCGAGTATGTAGGACGATCCGATGGATCGAGGTCGAAGTAGCAAAGTCGATAATTCACCCGACCAGACAAGTGCTCTTGAAGGAACATCTGCCCGACGTTGGGATCTTTCCGAGCCCGTTTCTCTGCATCCTACATTCGCGAAACGCTGGCAAAGCTGCGGTGGAACGTACCGTCGACATGGCTGCCATTCGTGTCTGCTCGAAATTGTAATTTCGTTTTCGTTCGGTGGAAGTAAATTTTCCTGTTATCTCGGTGTAATTTTGCCCGGGTTGAAATAAATTAAAGAACATCTTCGTTTTTCATGAAACAGAGAGGAAGAGAGAGCAAGTCGGAGTACGATGAATGAGGTTCCACCATACTAGAATCGATAAAAGACATTTTGTGAACTGTTCGAAAGAATTGGTCACGTAACCGAAGACTTAAGTATTTCCGATAAAGACACTATTTTTAACGAATTGATTTGGATTGCATATTTCTGAAAATTACGAAAGGATAGCTTCAGCATGAACTCGTTAAATGTTGTGATGACGAGATTTATTACTTTTATTGTTGGAATTTATAAGCTCTTTGAGGTTTTTGGGTAAATATACATTTTTATGAACTGATTTGTTAAAACCGAGGCTGAGTATAAATTTGTTTTCTGATATGAATTTGATTAGTTTAATAATTGTATAAAATTTACAAATTAATTTTAATGGTTCAGTTATTGTATATTTTATTTGACACTGATTATCTAATATTATTTGAAATTTTTTATCATAGCTTTATGTAATATGATAAGGTAAAACACATATTGCGGTACTATCATTAAAGTTTCCTAGTGAGTTCCGGCTGTGAGGTGCGCTGGTTTAGTACCTTTACCCCCTTGATGCCTAACCTGTCATCTACCACTTCTCGCTCAGCGACCAAATTTTCTCCTTGACTTTGATCGTTTTCAACTGGAATGTTAAGCAATTAATAAAGAAAAATATAAATCGACACTCCACAAGAATCGATCTCCTCGCTTCCTTTATATATGCATTGTAAAAAAATCATATTTATAAAACATGAACAAGAAATTTGTAAGAATATTAACAGATAATAAAAACATTTTTATTAAAGAACACTACTAAAACCCTGCTTTATTGATCTCATTACAGTTAATTAAAATATTCGGATTTTTATATCGATAAATGGCAAAGCTGAATCATCGATTAATTAATATTAATTCCAACAGAAAAATCGTAGTAAAGAACAAAATCTGAAGTATCAATATACATATTAATGTATAGACTTAGATATAGTATACTTTATTATGGAACATTTATAAGACACCATTAAACATTATTTTATTTAAAAATCACTGGATGTCATATTTAAAACTCCTTTTACCTTCTTTTTTGTTATATTTCGTTCTCTTTCCCATCTTACTTACTGAATGTTTTAGCATTCAAAGGAAACAAACCGTTGTTATCTAAAAATGGCTGGTTCAGTGAAGTTCGTCGATGAATTGCTACCCTCAGCGTCGGAATGCAAGCTTATTATTCACGTTTCTGTTTGTCAGTGCCCGGCTGTCATTAAAACACGATATCGCAAATAAAATATTGACTGCATCACGCGTCGGCGGTATCGCGGGACGAAAACATCGGACGGAACAACATTACCCGCATATATCCGGCGGTGCCACAAACCGATAAATTCCAATCCGATGAAACTTCCCGTCACTTCGTTACTCTTTTTTTTTT